TTTTTTTTTTTTTTGATAGAAAAAACCATTATTCTTTTTGTTGCTCGAATATAGCAGACAGACAGATAATGATGTAAAGGAATGTTGAACTACTGTTGTGAAAAACCGCGAACAGCACTGAGGAGTATATGAAGGAAAAAGTGCTTAATAAATATATGCATCTTGCCGAGTGTTTAGGCAGAGAAAGCTAAACAGTTCGTCAGCAGCGATCTGTTTAGCCTTCAAAACTATAGTCACTACAGTTGAGCACAGCAGATGCCAAGTCTGCTCTCTGGACGTCGCTGTGCAGCTCAGAGGTGAGAGCTTAGGTTAGCTCAGAAATGGAGCAAAAAAAAAGTATTATACAACGAGTCAGAGTTTTTGACAATCCATTCGCTTATATTTGCTCATATGAAAAAGTTAAAGACTACTGCTTTCACTGTCTTCGAATTCCGGAATCAAAAAAACTGTTCTTGTGCGGAAACTGTGAATATGCTCGTTACTGTGATAAAGTAAGTGTATTATTAATAATTTCATTAACAGCTTTTAAATAATTTTTTAATCGTTCACTGTTACTCTTTCATTTTCTAATTGATAGTTTTTTTCAACTAGAAAGAAGAAAAAATCTTAAACACATAATTAGTGCATATAACAGATTTAAAGAAATAAGCCATAATTCTGTTTTTATTCACTATGGGTGGAAAAATGTAAAAACAATGTTAATTAGAAAAATCTTTCAATTAAACTGCTGACTAAAAGTGTTACGATTTACTCTGTTTTAAAAACTCAAAGAAGTTTTGTTAGTTCTCAGACGAAGTATTCCCATTAGACTGTTTTATGATTTGATAAGGGGGCAGACACTTAAATTTGGCACTTTTCAATATGGATAACAATTGCTCCCCCCCTCCCCTCACCCCACTTTATTCTTCTCTATCTTGGCAATCAGAAAAGCTTTGTTGCCTATTGATTGCTTTCCCGTTAGAGCACAGCAACTACAGTCAACTGTTGCAAATATTTTTGGTTATTCTGTTACTGTTTATGATCCTAATAAGATGACTTTTTGAACAGAAAATTAAATGTCAGAGCAAAGCAAAAATACCTTACAATTTCATAGGCAGCAGTAGCACATCAGCTTAACAAAACCTCTTTTAGCAGCTGCTTTTTTATTTTTAAAACAATTCAGATACTAAAAAAGTTCCATCAGTTACACCGTGACACAATTCTTTCGCGTAAAACTAATGTCTTACTGAAGTGTTCGGTTCAAAAGTTTGTGAAACAACGCCAACCTGATTAGTATCGTAGCTGTCTAAAGCAACTAAGACAGTGTTTTACTTTTTTCTGAAACTCCCAGCAAAATCTTTTATCACCTAAAATGCTTGCTTCAGTAAAATGCCATTCTTTTTTTTTCTACTTTTCAGGGTGTTGCACTGGTAGTAATCTACCTCAATTCACCTTTTACACCTATATAGGTAAACTAATAATTGACTTAATTTTGCAATTTTTGAAGAACTGTCAACGCCTGGGATGGAAATTCCACAAAAATGAGTGCCGCCGTTTAAAAAAGGTTTTTCCTCACCTACCGCTCACTGAAGTCTTATTTCTCAGCCGGATCATAGATCGAGTAGTATTCTTGGAACAGAATGGAGACAAATTCAACTGGGAAAGAGATCGAAAGTGGTCAGAGCTTCTTGGGCATCAAGAAGATATAAAAAACGATGAGGTAACTTTTGCTACTAATATTGCTTCTTGCCTGGCCTACTAGTACAGCAGATAAAATCTTTATCTAATATTTATAAAACTACTATAAATTACTATTTTTAAAAAAATTCCAGGCAAAGTATAAACACTTCCAAAAGGTTTGTGCTAAAATGGCTACATTCAGAAAAGAGGAGATGATTAGCGAGGACCAATTTTACGATATTTTTTGCAAGACATCAATAAACTCACATTCTATTCACACAATGGCTGGCGATGAAATTGGTATGGCACTTGACCTCGGTAAGTCTAACATTCACTTTGGCTCAGCCCGTATTTAATAAAATATTAAGATTATTAGTTCTACTGAAAAAGTCACTATAAAAAGCCTCTATAATAAGTTCTTGAAGAATTGAAGATTTGTAGCAAATTTTGCTTACGAATTTGATAAACAAAAATGCTAAATTATTTGACGTTTTCGACCAAAGGCACTTTAGCCAGCTTGGTACGTAACGGTGTTGTAAGGTGACCAATTAACAGTTAGTATAACTGGAGCAGTTTAAAGGTATTTCTGCTTATGATCACTCCTGTCGACCAAACTGTTCCTTGGTCTTTGATGGATATCACGCTTGCCTGCGACCATTGGCCTCAGAAGTCGATGCATCAGATCCACATAAGTCTTTCATTAGTTATATTGACGTCGGTCGATCAAGGTACCAAAGAAGGATGGAGCTGAAAGCTAAATGGTGAATACTTTTTTTGAGTGTTCTGCAGTTCACTATATTGTTGGCTTTAAGCGATTTAACCATCAATTCGTGTTCATCGATTTTTACTGTTGAAGGTATTTCGACTGTGAATGTGAACGCTGTAATGATCCAGCTGACGACATACTGACAGCGATAAGGTGCGGGAACCAAAGTTGCGATGAACCTCTAATTATTCGCGAAGATTCAGAACCACAAGCAATAACTTGTAAAAGTTGTAATACTGTTGTTGACATAGAGCATGTCAAAAATGCGCAGAAAATGATGAAAAATTTCCCAACTAAATTTAGCCCGGAAGAAAATGTTGCTAACGTAAGGTCTTACTATACACACAACTTCACACACTAAAAAACTGAGAAAAATATCGTTCTAACGCCGAACAAATTTTTCTTACTAAATTGACTAATTATTTGCTATTTATTTTCAGTTGAAAGAATTACTGGCTGAAGCAGTACCCATATTACATCCTAAAAACATTTACCTGACCAGGTTACAAACTGCCATAATGTCAATGTGTGACACATTGAAGGATAATTTACCGTTCCTGCAGAAACAAGTTTATGAAAACTACAAAATGTAAATGTTCACTTCTTCTTTCTATCTACTTCAGAAATACGTAAGAATACCAAAAAGTATACAGAGCATAAGACAAAAAGTAAAAAACACAGTCAGGCATATTATTAATATTGACCAAAGGAAGTACCGGTTCAATAACTTTGGTACAATCAAATGATATACTGTTCCAATATGGTTAATAGTTATCGAATAATTAAGTGAATTTTCTGCTTAAAAGCATATACTGCTCAATATAGGTGCTTCCCGAAAGCTGACAGACATATTGGTTACCAACTTATACGCCTCGTTAAGACTTATATCGAGAAAGGAGATCGAGCAACGGTTTGTATTATTTTACTGAAAAGAAAATTCATAATGGCTAACTAGAAGCAAATATGCAATTTTGCAACAAGAATAAAAGAAATTCAAACAACTACGCTGTCTCCTTGTTTTGTTACAGCTGGAAATACTATAAATTTCTAGGCTTTACCCTATGCTTATGAGGCGATGAACATCTTTGAAGTCTGTTTTGGCTTGGAGCATCCCTATTACTTGCAAACCTTAGCCCTATGGACATTCTTAGAAAATAATGCTGACAAAACAGATGATGAACTTATTGCACTGACCAACTTCACTTCTAACAGGCCTGTTGATATTTCAAAAATATTGGCTGATCACATTGCAAATACTGAATAATATTAGAAAGATGAATAAAATAAAGACTTACTACTACTTTAAAAAAATTTTAAAAGTAAATGGCAAAAAATGAGTAACGTTTGTTAAAAAAGCACTTTCCAAAACAAAAAAAAAGCAACAAAGCTTCTTACCTCAAACACAATCTGATAGATATCAATGTATTTCTGGTCATTACTGACAGCTAAAAGTTGATTTTGGCTATTCACCGTGAACGCTACGTTAGGGAAGTTTTCTCGTTGTATTATTTTTCGATTTTGTAGTGAATAGACTGACAAAGATGTTTTATCAGAAAATATCAATAAATCCGGCTCCAGCGGCCGCAAACAGTGTAAACAGTTGTCAACCACATCAAGCAACTTCCCCTCGAGAGTGTAAATTTTTGCCTAAAATATGTTACATTGTTCGAAATTGTCATCTTAACAACTGTTAACTAATATCTACCGAAATAACTATTCGGCCACAAGCTTTTATTATAAAAGAGGGTTAGAGTAGTAAGGTAACTAATTTGTTTGAATAACCAATTATTAAAGAAACTGAGACTTTTTTTACAAGACTTATAAGAGAGCAAATATACTCAATGATAAAATAGCGTTTAAACTACCAGCTTTTTCTATCTAGATCCATTCAACTAGAAAAAGCTAATAATTTTTTTCTGATCTGTGTACAAAAATATCGAACTGGTTTGGAATAATTGAGAAAGGTGAAATACTACACTGTTCTACAAAATTTACACCTTTGAGTCAGAGAAAGTGACTCCTTAACGATTCTTCTAACAAATCAACCTATAGATCATCCCTCGGGCTTGAAGAAGTGCACAGGGAGCCTTATAACGAAGGCCTATAAAACACCGGCCCCACGGGATGCGCTAGCTACAAATTTGAGTGATCTACTAACAGCGCTGGTTAAAGACGTCCTACGCCCTTCGTTAAGAACAGTTACTATACAAATTGCACACTAATATATCAAAGTACAAAACTGTCAAGAAAGAAACGGACCTGGTAGAAGGGAGTGATTACAACTAAGTTTGAATTAAGCCATTGCATTTCATCGATGCCATCCGACTCAACTGTCATCACTCTTACAGACAAATCTGTTTGTTCAATTGCCCATATACATCCAGTCTCGTTGGCAGCATAAATATTGTTTTTGTGACAGACGACTGATGTAATTCCTGTAGCACAACAAAATTTAAAAGTCAACTCAAGTGGTATTAAGGGAAAGAATACAAGAAAGCTAAAGGAGAGCAACAAAACAAACCGACGGGTTTTTCCAAATAGTTTGAACCTCTGAGTCTTCGTGGAAGGTCTTTAACCTTTAAAACCAAAAATTTTTGTTTCTTCAATTCAATGCCGTCCCATGTATGAACACATAATTGACCGTCAAGTGAACAAGACACTAACTGCTGTGCACTCAACCATTCTAAACCCGTAATGCACAGACTGTGTACCTGCAAAATTTGTCAGTTTTCAAGTTGTTCAGCAATAACTTAGAAAAGTTAAGTTTAAATTGTTAAACATAAAATGATAGTCAAAAAATAAACCTCAGAAAAGAACTTTATTTGGCCATCCACTGCCAAATACAATACTCCGTTTTGCCCACCAATAAACAACGTGTTCCTCGAGCCAAATCTGAAGTAGATATTTGCCTGAGTTGCCTTTAAACTGTTATAAAATGAGAGTATTTGTATTCTTTTTAACACAGCAATGTTTCCAAAGAAATAAAATGTTGCTTCTGATCAAGTGCAGAACCTGCATAATTTGCATACGATCAAGATAAATAAAGTTAAAAAAAAAATTGATTTTACCTAACCACTGTGGGACAGCATGGAAGCAGTATGTGACTGAAATATTTTCCATGCAACAAAACAACTTTAGCATCATGCGAACACCAGGAATCGTGATGCTTTTCTCCATAGCTAACCGCAATAAAATTCCGTAAGTTACAAGAAACATTCA